TCACCCATAGGGCAGCCCTGGATACAGCGGACTGGCCCACAGTGCCTCTGCCAGTGAAAATGGAGCTCGGGAGGGCTGCATGTGGCCCTCCCAGTCTCCATTTTCAGCACTGACAGCCTCCTGCAGCTCTCTGCCAGCAAAAATTGAGCTTGGGGGTGGGGTGGGGGAGGTGCATGTGCAAAACAAACTAAAAACAAAAGAAAAGGAGAAATGTTTCCCCTTTTGCATTTGAGCATCCAAGAAGGGACAGGAAAGGAGAAAGGGAAAGGGAAAGACAAGAAAAAGAAGGAAATATGGGAATAGAGCAAGGAAAGAAAAAGAAGGAAAGAGGAGAAGGAAGAAGAAAGGAGAAGGCAGGAAAGAAGGAAGGGAGGAGATTATAATGAGAAGGAGGGAGGGTCTGAGGGAAGTCCTGCCTTAGTACTTGGCCACCACAGGTGCCCCCAACACAAGTGACATTGAACTGGCCATGCCCACCCAGGCCACGCCCTTCTGCCCCCCCTCGAGGTCAAACACAACCCTGATGAGGCTCTCAATGAAATCAAGTTTGACACCCCTGCTTTAGATGAAACATGACTCAGAACAACGATCATGGAACTGATGCAGGGATGGGTTGCTGCTGGTTTTACTACCAATTCTCAGCGCACGCTCACTTTGCATGCATGCACATCAGACATGTGCTGTGCGTGTATTGTTCAATGTAAATTTTTCTTTTTGTATGTGCAGAACAATTTACAGTGAACAGCGCATGCACAGTCACTAAAAACCAAAATCGTGGCGGCCCAGTGGCAGTGAGGGAACCGGTTCGGAGGTGTGGCTGGCCTGGGTCACTGCCGGTTCTGTGACCCAGGCCTGAATTCCACTACCGGTTTGGCCAGACCGGGCCAAATCAGGAGCAACTCACCTCTGAACTGGCAGATCTTTTTTATTTTGGTCAGTATATAATACTATGTATGTTGACCCCTCACCAGTATTTTTTCCCCAGCCATTCATTTCCCGCCCAAAGTTTCTGATTAGCTTTCACTTCCTCTAAAGCAGCAATGGTGAACCTTTTTTGGCTTGCATGCCATAAGCGTGGGGAGCGCAGGGGGGGGGTCATGCGTGGGCATGTCACACCCATAATGCAATGTGTGACCCCCCCAGTGTGCATGTGTGCATGACAGGCGTGACCCACCCATTTTTTGCATGCTTTTTTCACCCTCCCCAGGCTCCAGAGGCTTTATAGGAGCCCAGGGAAGGTGAAAACAGCCTCCCCCGCCCCCCGGAGGCCCTCCAGAGCTCCCTCCAGAGCTCCCTCCAGAGCTCCCTCCAGAGCTCCCTCCAGAGCTCCCTGAAGCCTCCAGAGGGCAAAAAACAACACTACAAGCAAACCGGAAGTCACTTCCTGTTTGCTTGTAGGCTCGATTTTAGCCCTCTGGAGCATTCAGAAGCTCTCAGGAGGCTTCCCTGAAAGTTCTGGAGGACAAAAACCACCCTACGAGCAAACCGGAAGTCACCTCCAGTTTGTTCGTATGACCGTTTTTAGTCCTCCGGAGCCTTCAGGGACCTTCTGGAGGCTTCCTTGAATTCTCTGGAGGGCTTAAACCGGCCCTACGAGCAAACCGGAAGTCCGTTCCCATAGGGCCGTTGTTTTTGCATTCCGGAGACTTCAGGGAAGCTCCTGAAGCTTCTGGAGGGCCTCGGGTGGGGGGAGCTGTTTTCGCCCTCCCCAGGCTCCTATAAAGCCTCTGGAGCCTGGGGGAGGGCAAAAAATGGTTTTAAAGAAGGCTAAACTCAGCTTGCCAGTGCGCGCATGCGTACTGGCCAGCTGACAGGGCAATATGTCGCGTGCCCTGACAAATGGCTCCGCGTGCCACCTGTGGGACGTATGCCATAGGTTTGCCATCCCGGCTCTAAAGTATCAGAAGATGCAGTACTCACAAGGTTTGTCCTGGTGCAGTCATTGTGCATACTGCATTCTCATGGCAGGGATTATTGGTTGCACAGATATCTTTCATACTGCATCCTCGACCAGGTACAAAGTTCCTGAAATGTTCTTGGCATTCACAGTGAGACTTAATGTAAAGGAAAAACATGTTAGTTTTGTTTAAAGCAGGCATTTACTCATCAGTCTTTTTATTTTTTTATTTTTCCATTTCTTTGCCCATATAAGCTTTCAAACTCTGAAAGGACTGAGATCGTTGTTGTGTTTAAATTACTCTTTAAATTGTCATTTACATTAATAATGCTATATTAAATGGTAATATTTGATTTATAAATGACTTATTTTTACTTGACGTGTTATTACAGAAAAGCTTTTGAGCCGAGGTGGCGCAGTGGTTAAATGCAGCACTGCAGGCTACTTCAGCTGACTGCAGTTCTGCAGTTCGGCTGTTCAAATCTCACCCGCTCAGGGTTGCCTCAGCCTTCCATCCTTCCGAGGAGGGTAAAATGATTCCCCGGAGTGTTGATGGGGGCAATATGCTGACTCTGTGAACCGCTTAGAGAGGGCTGAAAGCTTTTCTGTAATAACACGTCAAGTAAAAATAAGTCATTTATAAATCAAATATTCCCATTTAATATAG